GCGATAAACGAGGGCTCACTGTACTTCACCTACGAAGCGTTACTGACTCAGTACCAGAACGAGTCCTGGACTATGCAGACAAAAGTCTATCCATTTACTTGTAGTAACTACACTTGTCAATTTGGTCAAGCTACCAAGTGTCCTTTTTAATTCTGAATTAAATTAGTGAGTAAGCACCACTATGCAACTACAAATCCAACTAGCAATATATGCCATCCAGGCTACATCTGTTTTCCACAAGATTTGGGTTGAGGGGAGCCCAGTCCTGCATTACCTTTCAGGATAAAACGTGGTCTTGCTGGCTTCGATGGATTCTTGAATACTGCGCTGGATGTCGTAACTTGTAAGATTGTCTTCATCAGAGTCATCATGCGTTTCCATGCCTGGATATCATTTTAACAGAAGCCATTTTTTTTTTTGTATCAGCAAATGATAGAGATGCGAGTATGAGAGCTAACATGAAGGATGCAGAGTGAAAAGGCTAAGATTCATTCATCTTTCCTCATTTGAGAAAACATATTTACAAAACCTCCCCAAACTGGAACCCTGCTTGTGGCTGGCGAGTCAATTCTGAGTCATCGTGACCCCACTGGACAGAGCAGCATTGCCTCATGGGAGTGCTTCAGCTGTGACCTTTATGGAAGCCGATGGGTGGGCAGGGTTCCAAACGCCAACCTTTAGGCTAGTCGTGGGGTGTAAACCGTTGGTGCCTCCTGGGGCATATTTTATATAAACCCCATCTTATTCCTGTGTTCGGCCTTTTGAAACCTTCAATTACTTATCTTTTGGCTCTCTGTAGTTTTTACTTTGTGGGGTATCTTTTCAGCAAGGGCTGCCATGTGGACTTAAAAAAATCTACATGGTCATGTTTCTGATTGACACACGCCTTGCCTTATTAGTCTCCTCAGACACTACTGTACTGAGCACATTAGAAACTCAAAACCAGTCCAAGGCGGAGGAAATCAGTTATGGTCTTAGAAACCAGAAACCCCTGCATCCCTTTTACTCCCTCTTTAGTCTGTTTTTGCTGTGTCTGCTTGTCTAATTTATTCTTTTTCTCAGGCCAGCAAGGGTTTGCATTGGCTGTCTGAAACTGCAGCGATCTCTATACTTGCGTTCAGCGAGTTTTGGAGCAGACACAACACTCGGAGACCATGGTCTACCTCACGCATCGCTGTACCGTCTACATCGCTAGGAGACGTGTGGTGCAGGGAAGCTTCCTAAGAGATGCTTGTCGAATTAAACTGGAGCAGAAGGAATGTGAATGTCACCCATGTAATTTGATGGGACAGAGAAGATGCAAAGGAAACTTTATGTAAAAGGAACTAGAAATGTAACCACCATTCTTTCTGGGAAACCATCATCTAATAGCACGCATGAAATGTACAGTTTTCAGAACTCCAAACATTTAGAGGGAGATGAGAGAGGATTAGGATGACCAAAACAGCGTTAGCCACTCGGTGTACTTCCTTATGAGCTTGCTTTTCTGCATGTGATACAGGGCGTGGCTCCCTGGGTTGACCAGACACCCACCTTTTTGAACTGGTCTATCTGTGTTGCCGGCTATGGGATGATCCTTCCCAATGCCTTGGTAGAAGGCATCCTTACTACAGAAAGACCCTGATTAGGAATGCTGTAATAGCTTGGGACAGACATGGCAAAGACCAGCTTGATCAGGTGACTTTTGACAAAGAGCCAAAAGAAACTTCTGGGATAGCTTATATAATTTACTGATAACCAGTTACTTCTCCCTCAACTAGCTCTTTGCTTTTTGCCAAAACATGGTCACCATGAAGGATTGTGCAGGTTGTGCACTACATAAATGTGCCCAGTGGGTGAAATCTAGCTAACTTTCACCCATCCGAGCTGTGTACCCAGGCACAATACTGGGTTGGCCTGGGGAAGAAGCATTTTTGTTTCAGTTTGTACCCTAGTGGTATATGGCATATGGTATTCCTGAACTGCTGAACCATTCTTTAAAGTGGGGAAATTAAACAAACCTTATTTCATTTGGATCAAAGATGAGAAGTGATGTAATCCTGGCACAATTTATCCTCTACTTTCTTATTCTTTTCCCAAAGTTGAAGGGCCTTAGGATTGATTACTTTTATTCAGAAAGGATAGGGCTACCGTGGCTCTGTCTTTTTGAAGGAAAGAAGACACCATGCCTGGTAATGTGGAGGGGCAGTGAACAAGAGGAAGGTTCTGGACAAGCTGTACTGACACAGTGGCTGCTAAATGGGCTCAAACATAAGAACAATTGTGAGGATGGTGCAGGACCAGATGGTGTTTCATCCTGTTGTTCAGTGTCCTATGAGTTGGAATCAACTTGATGGAACCTAAATCATACTTATGATGTTAATGATGATTCTTGAACCTTTGCATAGCTACTGGTTGGTCCACCCTTACCTCCTCTTACCTTCACCCCCCACTCCTTTTCTTTCTTTCTTCTTTCTTTCATTGTTGGCTTAACAAGGGGACATTGCACTAATGGATCCCAGAGCATCATTTGAGATAAGCATTATCTTAACTCTATTCCAAGACCAGAGGCAAAACCTCCTGGAGATGCCCCAAGCCTGCACCACTCTATCCATGTTCTTGACTGGCCCATGTCCTCCAAAGATCTTACACAAAAATGCAGATCATTCTCTTTGTCTATGTCTTCCAGATAACAGATTAAAGGAGGAAGGAGTTCTCATTACTACTGGATCCGTGGCTTTTTCTTATTTAGAAAATTTAAACCAAAACAGTTTTACAGCTAGGCTGACTGACCAATATGAAATTATCTTTGATTAGTGGTCCTTTTTAAGCTAAAATGTATTCTTTGAAAAGTTTCACATGGTTGTGTTTCTTTCTCAAGGGGAGAAAAGCAAAATTGTATTTTGTGGGTCATTTCCAATACACAAGTTGATATTGACTTGGTTAGAAATCTCCTTCTAATGAAGGTTAGAAATCTCACACTTTTTCAGGAGCCCTGCTGGCATAGGGGTTACAAATTGGGCTGTTAACTGCAAGGACAGCGGTTCAAAACCACCAGCCACTTCACAAGAGAATGATTTGACTTTCTATTCCCTTAAAGAGTTAGAGTCTCAGAAGCCCACAGGGTTCTACCTTGTCCTATAGGGTTACTATGAGATGGAATTGACTCGATAACAGTGAGTTTTTGAGATTTTTAAAAGGAAAGTTTGATGCACACAGATAGTATAGGACCCTGACCTGTGAATTGATCGCACAAGAACTCATTGACATCATTATGATAACCTTGTTCATTGTTATGTTGTACCAGTGGTCCTCCTATCACCTTAGATAGATAGGATAGTCATCATGTTCAACACCAGCACATCGACTGCAGTGCTGTGCTCCATCACACCCTGATTTCCCAAACACACTACCAGCAAGACTGTTGCAACTCATGGCCACGCTGTACAGGGTCTCTGAGGCTGTAAATCTTTATGAGAGTAAACAGCCTTGCCAAACACCTAACCTCCAGCCCCACCAGGACTGCCGAGGAATCCTA